TGTCATTAGATATATGATCATCAACACACATCTAGACAAAAAACCGCGGATACTTTATAGATGACCCAATATATATAATATATATACAATAAATATGTTCGATCAGTTGTTTACAAGATATCGACGTGATTAATTGTCAGCAAACTAATTTGAAATTCAACTGAATTAATAATCTTCTATAATATCTTCTATAATAATCACATCTAAGCCGTAAGCATTGTATGTAAATTTTTATATTATCAAAATTTCAATTTTCAAATTTAACGTCATTTTTTAATCTAAGCTTCATTCTAATTTTATAAATTTCTCTTTTAAGATTTAAATCGTATACTTTTGACGTATTGTTCTATGTCTTCCCTTTTACTTTTCGGAAAGCTATAATTTTATTATAATTTTATTGCCTAGAATCTGATCTCATTATCAAATATATTGTAACTATTGCCGATAGCTTATTAAATTTTCTAATTTCTACTTAACAGAATTCAAAATACGACAAACCATTGTACGGTTTATTTTAAATCTTCCTTCATTCATACTTACTTGTAGTAATCATTTATATAAGATGTTGCTTTCAACCTTGATTGCGGTTTCATATTGACGTGTTTCTATTCGTACTCATTATTTGAATTACGTTTAATTATTTCAACGTCTCATATTTTCAATTCTAACATTATACTTAATATTTTATTTATGTAAATTAGAAGAAAATTAAAGTAACGTTTATATGTAGAATAAACATTTAAAATTACATATCGAGTTTAACTAACGATAAAATATATCAATTTAGCAGTAAAGTGCATAAAAGATATTGGCAGACATCGACGAAAATTTTATACAGTCCTTATTGTTAAAAAATTGTGTAAATTGCTAAAGTATATTTGATACCCACTAAAACAAGAACACTTTAATTATTCTATATCTAAATTATGAATACATCGGCTGTTTTAAACATTGTTATAATAATGTATTCACCTGTTATTTTCAAATGCTTTAAGCTATTTAATGAGAATAGTATTTATATATTAACCGCGATCTTCCGTAATAAAATTTCTGCAATAAAAAAATTATGTTATTAAGGAATTACATTTTTTTAAGGTTTTAGGTGGATAAACTTACAAATATACATGTTAAAAAAAATTTAGACCGTGAAAAAAACAAAAAAAAATTTAGGGAACGTTACAAGAAATTTAACCGAGGAATACACCTGAAGAGTTTAAGAATTGAATTTGTAAAGAAATAGGAACATTCATCAATCTCAAGTTTAGCAATATTTCAATCGATAATCGAAGATAATGGATAATACTATCAAAATGTATGTATGCCATCATTGCCATAAGATTTATGAAGTTCATGATTGATATTTTCAGTGTTTTGCTAACTTTGTATTATTTCAACAGTTATTTTATGTTGCTATTTTCATATTCATTTTATAACAATAATCTTCCTTAATTTTAAAGGTGAGCATTTTACCATCCGACAGCTTTGAAACGACATAATGAAGAAATACATAATGGAGATTAATCATGCGGATGTGATAAAACGTTTAAACGTGAATATGATATGAGTCGTCATGAAATGACTCATATAGAGGGAAAACTTTATCAATACGAGTTTTATGAACAGTATTTCATATACGTGCGTATTTAAACGAATAATAAAAATTAGATAAATTATCTAATATAATAATTCATGTCTATGTTTAAATTAATTGGTAAAGAAGAATTAATTGGTAATGTTGCCATGATTATTTTGTAGTGCAAATAAGAATCTAAAAACTTAGAGACTTATCATACTATTGATAAAAATTACAAGTGTAACGTGTGTGAGAAAATTTTCAAAACTAAAACGAATTTGAATTATCATATAGAAACAAAACACACTCATAAATGTGACCAATGTCGATCTACATTTACTCATCGTAAGAGCTTAAAGCGGCACATGAAAATACATACAGGCGAAAATCTATATCTTTGCGAGGTATGTGCTACAAAATTATTGTTAGAATTTTTTCTAATTTTCTCATTTGATTGTTTTTATTTTCACCTTCCTTTAATCATAAATGTATTCTGTTTCGGGAATGCGGCAAAAGATTTATTAGTAAAAGTCACCTAAACGATCACATGCTTGTACATAGCAATAAAAGGCCGTATGATGATTGTGAGGTGTGTGGCAAGGCCTACAAGCGAAAACGAGATCTTAATCCACACATTATTCTAACTGAGGTCATTTATGATATAACGTTTTAATTCATTAGCGGACTCACATCTTTGTATTTTTGTTATATATTTATAATCATATTATAATAGATCACTGTAATATATCACACCACATGTGATACATAAAAAAATATTTATTTTTAGAGTCACTAAAGTCTTAACCTGTACAACAATCAAAGAACAAATTGCAACTAACAACGGAAGAGGTAAAGAACAATTATAACTACTATTATAATAATATTGTCAAATAATGACTAATAATAATGACGAACTATCAAAAGAAGTGAATAATAAAAATGTAACTTTTGTATATGATTTTATACGTATTGACGAAAGTCTTCCGGAAGTTACAACTTTTCTCGGAGGTACAATTGAACACTGTCAGACATAGGAGGACCATCGTGTAAAATTAACAATGATTGAATATTTTAAAGATAAATTCGTAAATTCTAACTGCTTTATATTTTTAATAATTTTACGTCCTAGTTGAATTTAAATTAGTACAATCGCGAGCAGAATTTCTTGAAATTGATGCTACACCTATTTTACGTATTTTTAGAAAGCGTTATTACAATTGCAATGAGATTTCAATACTGAAATATGATTTCAATACTGAAATGAAAGTCACACTTTTTATACGTGTCGCCTACAAGTTAACGAAAATATCATGTTTCTTTTAGTAGGGCTTAAACTACTAGCAATGGAATGTTAATACAAAATGACTAAATGAGTAAGGAACTTGGAAGGGATAGCGTGAAACCAAAATCACGGAAAAAATATTTTATATATAATTATATAAAATTATGTAAACATACGTATAATTTTATATAATTCTAATAAATGGATATATATTTTATATATACTTTCATATAAATATAAATATTCATATAAATATAAATATATTTCATATATATATAAATATATATTTATATATAATTATATATAAAATATTTTTTTCGAGTGTCATATAACTTTTTATTATTTTGTTTGGAAAAGGGTCATGACAAGATTTCAATTTTTATAAATATTTGTCAATGCGACATGTGAATCGAATTGAGGTAACAATGAACTATGTTAGGCTGCGTCTATCAATGTTCACTTTTTCCAGGTGCTTGCAATTATGAACAAGCGCATTCAAAAGTTTTCTTTCACTAGAGAAAATGGAAATTAAATAGCTGTGTCAAACGTTTGAGAAAATTTAACTTCTGATAATATTATCGCTAGTATATTTCCTAATAGGTACGTTTTTTATTACTATCTACAGTATAGCATTATTATGTATAATATGCAAAGTCAATGGACAATGATGAAATAATATTTACGGGGTGTGAGCATAAAAACGAAACTTAAACTAAATTGACCAATCGTAATAAAGAATTAATTATAATACTAATTTACGCGGCTGCATCTTCAAAATAGAGACTAATTTTAATACTGGATGTACGTGCTATTATTCTTGTATGTACTACTAGTATGTACTATTATAAGTCGAAAATTAATTATATTAAAGCAATTGGTGTTATAGAGCATTAGTAATTGTTTTTATCTCAATTATTGAATCATCTTCGTAATATTTTTATCATAAAGACCTACATAGAAACCTATTGATATAAATACACATCCTGACAAAAATTAGAAGTTTCAAATACCTGTATATTTGTTCAACATTTATATAAGCGTTTGCAGGAATTTGTTAAGAATTCAGAAACGTTCAGTAGAGTATTTATAAAGCGGATATTAGAACGCTGCAACGTTTGAAAAGCTTTTTCTGACGAATAAGAAGTTACATGAACGTTCAGTTTAGGTGTTGAGCTGAACGCAGACATTTTATCAAAGAAAAAGAAACAAAATTTTTCACTGAAAAGTCTCATCATAACGCGCCTTTTATTCTATTCGTAATTTTCTAAATGCCTTTTTGTAAAGAAGGAATTTTGTGATGATGTTATGTATACATATTTTCTATTGTTAACCATATAACATCACCAAGTTTATTTAATACAACATTTTTTTTTATTTAAAATAAATTTCATAAGTTTATATTTTTACTTCTTTGTAATTAAATGTTACTGACAGTTGGAATAGAAAAATATATATTATTTGAGTGGGAATGGAAAGACCTTTAAATGAAAATAAAACATAAATGCTACTTAGATTTTAATTTTAAGAAGTGAAGGTTTGTAATTTGGAATATAGTTTCTTACACATCAATTTCATTTTTTCATAAATAATACAATAATATTTGAAAAAAAAATGTATATTATGCTTGTAATTGAAAAACGCTACGAATTAATTCCAACACATAATATTTTTAAATAAAATTATATATTTGAATTGGTTAAAATAATAAAATTTTCTGGTATCACTATTTTTTTAATAAAAGTACGACAGAAACTTGTTTGAATCTTATATCTTCCAAATTTTTTCTTGTGTGTGTAATAATTCTTTAATAATAAATAATCTAAACATTGTATTTTTAATTTGCGAATCCCAATATTTTCGGTTTTTGATTGGTGGTTCCTGGCAACCAATAAGCAATTGAAATCCATTTGTTGTTCTGATTAGAGTATAAAGACTGTAATATGCAGTGCGTACTGTCAATCAGTAATGCCGTAAAATATTTTATTATTTTAAGAAAAAGATAACGAAAAAGTAACGACTCGTTACATTTTTTTTTAGTAAACATAACGGGTTACTTTTATGATGTAAGGTTGTCAACCCTGTGTATATAAAAAATACATATGCATATATACACAAAAATGTCCGTTTCGTCACAGTTGTTTCCAAGATTCTGATATAGTTATTTGTCAGCAAACACTTTGAATTTCAACCGTAATAATCTTGATGTAAGCCGTAAGCATGTAAGTTATTACATCATCAAAGCTTCAGTTTTCAAACTTAACGACATTTTTTAATCTATAAGCAAAATTGAACAATATATCAAAGATAGACTAAATCTTAAGAGAGAAATTTATAAAATTAAAATTTTACTTATAGATTAAAAAATGTCGTTAAGTTTGAAAACGGACTACTATTCTAAATCTTTCTTTCCATATTAAGTAATCATATATACAAGATGTTGCTTTCAACCTTGATGACGGTTTCTTATTTATATGTTACAATTCGTACTCATTGTTCGTTTGAATTACATTTAACTATTTTAACGTCTCATGTTGTTAACATTATACTTTTATTTACGTAAATTAGAAAAGAAATAAAGGAACGTTTATATATAGCATAAATATTTAAAATTAATATCGAGTATCGCTAACGATAAAATATATCAACTTAGCAATAAAATACGTCAAAAGATGATGACTTCGACAAAGATTTTATACAGTCCTTCTTGCTAAAAAGTAAACTGTTAAAGTGTATTCGATATCTATCTACTAAAACCAATACAATTTGATAATTTTATACCTAAATTGTGAATACATCACAATTGTTGTTTTAGATATTGCTTTAACAATGTATTCACCTGTCATTTTCAAATGTTTTAAGCTGTTTAATAAGAAAAGTACAATTATGATAACCGCGGTCTTCCGTTATAAAATTTCTTCGATAAAATTTCTTCGAAAAAATTTATATTATTAAAGAATTATGTTTTCTTACGGTTTTAGATGGATAAACTTAAAAATATACATCTTTAAAAAAATTTTGACCGTAAGAATTACGAAAAGAATTTAGGGAACGTTATGATAAATTTAACCGAGGAATACGCCTAAAGAGTTTGAAAATTGAATTTGAAAAGAAAAGGAACATCCATCAATCTCAAGTTTTGCAATTTGCATCCATAGTCGAAAATAATGGACAATGACACAGTACATTATGTATGCCACTATCCCAATTGCGGTAAGATTTATGTAGTTCATTATTAATATTTTTAGTGTTTTGATAACTTTGTGCTATTTCTTTGTGTTGTCAGTTCTATATTGCTGTTTTTATATTTATTTCATAACAATAATTTTCTTTAATTTTAAAGGTAAGCAATTTACCAACTCGATAAGTTTGGCACTACATATTACAGAGGTACATGAAGGAACGTATAAATGTGACCTATGTCCAGCTACATTTTATGATAGTAGGCTCTTCGGCCTTCACAAACGAGAAACACATGGCGAAAATCCTTATGTTTGCGAGGTATGTGCTACAAAATTATTGTTAATATTCTTTCTAATTTTTTGTCATTTGATCATTTTTACCTTTCTTTAATCATAAATGTACTCTATTTTAGATATGCAAGAAAAGCTTTAGAACTAGAAGAGAACTAAACAGGCACCGAGTTGTACATAGCGATGAAAAATCGCATGTATGTTGGGTATGTTTCAGAGCATACAAGAGAGAAGATACACTTAATAGACACGTTGAAACTGAAGTAATTTATGATATAACGAATAAAAAAAACAACAAGAGGACAAGATATAAGTAACATGAAATGCTACATTATATAATATTTTATTTATTTATTTTAATACATAAAGGAATGTCTCGATAATATTAGGTGTTGGAATTAATTCGTAGCGTTTTTTAATGAAAGAATGTTATTTATTTCACATGAGCATTAAAAAATACATTAATGAAAGTACTTCCCATCACTTGTAAAACGCTACGAATTAATTCCAACACCTAATATTAAGTCGAATACAATAAGTGTTCATATACAGGACATTGCCGACTTACGAGATCACTTCTCATGCGGGTTCACTGAGAGAAATGATTTTTATATGAACAAATTAAGGGAAAACAAACGTGATATTTGTTAAGAAAACGATCGATTACTAGTTATCGATTATTAGTTACTATTGCAAATTAATTATTTCTCATTCCATAAATAAAAAGGAACATATAGTAGCCACGACGCAAGATGTTTTAAACAAAAGTCAATATATTTGAAATCATATAATAACGTAGACGTTTCTCAAGATTTGATCAAGATTTGGTCTTCATCAGTACATAGAAATATCAAGATGTCAAAAAAAGTTCCAAAAATAAATATCAAGGTGTCACAGAGAGAAACATAGAATTATGATAATAATCGCTAGTAAAAAAGATGATTTCCTCTCTTTTCATAATATATAAATGCTCCTCTTTATTTATATTTTGTATTTTTAAGCCACTTTCAAACAATTTTATTTCTAATTCAATCGATGTAACAAATGATTAATAGTAACGCTAACAAATAAAAGGCTCATATATATAGAAGTCGTAGACGATTGTAGGATCTCAAATTATAAGAAATTGACCGATTCTAGTCAAGTATTCTCCCTACATTTGCCAGTGACTGGTCAATTTGTCTCTTAACTTAAGACCCCACGATCATCTGTAGATTTGTTCGCGTCGCATGTTCCAATATGCTTCTATCATGCTTTTACTCACTCCAACGCGCTTGATAGAATAAGTAGGAGCTATGTAGGAACATATTGGGACATGTCATGGTGGAGCTTGCGACGAGAACAAATTTTATGATTTCTATGATAAAGAACCTAAAATCTATCCAAAAGATAGATTAGGTTCTGTATAGTTTGCTTCTATTATTAATAATTAGTTGGTACAGCAGTCTAGTAGCAATCACAACAAATCAATTTTGTTATCATATATTTACCGATTAGTTGTTAAAGGTACTAGTAGCTTGTTAAATTAATAAAATCCTATCTCTCATTATCTGTAGAATAGACTAAACTAATAGTGTTTTCTCTTGGCTGCACTATCGCTTGGCTATCGCTTACCAGTACAACATTCAGATAGTGTAACGTATTTGCTTGGCTGGAGGTGGGCGAACTTAATCATTGTAATGTGTTTCCGTGGCTATAATGTAGTGCAAATTTTATGCACGAAATGCAGATTTATTACACGAGCTGAAAGAGACGGTATAAAGTCAGTGTGTCATTAAAAATTTGAAAATGGAAGTCAACCGGCAGCAGAATTAAACACGATAGCATGAAGTGTTCACCAAGGTTACATTTGTATGATAGTAGGCTCTTCGGCCTTCACAAACGAGAAACACATGGCGAAAATCCTTATGTTTGCGAGGTATGTGCTACAAAATTATTGTTAATATTCTTTCTAATTTTTTGTCATTTGATCATTTTTACCTTTCTTTAATCATAAATGTACTCTATTTTAGATATGCAAGAAAAGCTTTAGAACTAGAAGAGAACTAAACAGGCACCGAGTTGTACATAGCGATGAAAAATCGCATGTATGTTGGGTATGTTTCAGAGCATACAAGAGAGAAGATACACTTAATAGACACGTTGAAACTGAAGTAATTTATGATATAACGATTTTAATTCATTCGCAGATTCACATTTGTCTTTCTATTTTTGTTATATATTCGTAATCATATTACATAATAGATTATTGTAATCAGTGTTGTAATCAGGTATTTAGATATAGGTATTACGTAGAAAAAGTATTTAGATATAAGTACAGATACATTTTTTTAAATTACCTAAGTAGATTCAAATATAAAGAAAAAAATATCCGAAAATTTAGGTATTGTTTAGATACATAAAAAAAAGGAAAAAAATGTGGAAGTAGGAAAAAATAAAAAAAACAACAAGAGGACAAGATATAAGTAACATGAAATGCTACATTATATAATATTTTATTTATTTATTTTAATACATAAAGGAATGTCTCGATAATATTAGGTGTTGGAATTAATTCGTAGCGTTTTTTAATGAAAGAATGTTATTTATTTCACATGAGCAAAAATAAATATCAAGGTGTCACAGAGAGAAACATAGAATTATGATAATAATCGCTAGTAAAAAAGATGATTTCCTCTCTTTTCATAATATATAAATGCTCCTCTTTATTTATATTTTGTATTTTTAAGCCACTTTCAAACAATTTTATTTCTAATTCAATCGATGTAACAAATGATTAATAGTAACGCTAACAAATAAAAGGCTCATATATATAGAAGTCGTAGACGATTGTAGGATCTCAAATTATAAGAAATTGACCGATTCTAGTCAAGTATTCTCCCTACATTTGCCAGTGACTGGTCAATTTGTCTCTTAACTTAAGACCCCACGATCATCTGTAGATTTGTTCGCGTCGCATGTTCCAATATGCTTCTATCATGCTTTTACTCACTCCAACGCGCTTGATAGAATAAGTAGGAGCTATGTAGGAACATATTGGGACATGTTGGAGCTTGCGACGAGAACAAATTTTATGATTTCTATGATAAAGAACCTAAAATCTATCCAAAAGATAGATTAGGTTCTGTATAGTTTGCTTCTATTATTAATAATTAGTTGGTACAGCAGTCTAGTAGCAATCACAACAAATCAATTTTGTTATCATATATTTACCGATTAGTTAAAGGGAGTAGCTTGTTATAATACATTCATAAAATCCTTTCTCTCATTATCTGTAGAATAGACTAAACTAATAGCGTTTTCTCTTGGCTGCACTATCGCATACCAGTACAACATTCAGATAGTGTAACGTATTTGCTTGGCTGGAGGTGGGCGAACTTAATCATTGTAATGTGTTTCCGTGGCTATAATGTAGTGCAAATTTTATGCACGAAATGCAGATTTATTACACGAGCTGAAAGAGACGGTATAAAGTCAGTGTGTCATTAAAAATTTGAAAATGGAAGTCAACCGGCAGCAGAATTAAACACGATAGCATGAAGTGTACACCAAGGTTACATTTGTTTAGTGCAGCGCTGATACAGCACTTACACGCAACTTGTGTAGTGCAAGGTTACACTTAGGGTAACCAAGAGAAAATGCTATAAGTCGAAAGTTCTTTATCATTTTGCAATTTTCATAATACTTTAGGAGATAATAATTTCCAAAAATCACCACATATATAATAAGCACATATCCGTGCAGACTACCGTCAAGACTACGCCTATCAGTTGCAGTCGATTATCGCGCGAGGATTACTTGGTAGGCGGGCACTAAGCGCCATAACTCAAGCAGCGCGGCAACCAATCAGTCACTACTTCCCGCACAACAAGCGATCGCCACCAATGGGCGTATACTTGATGGTAATCCGCGCGAATTCGTTCTCATTAAGTGATATTTAGAAATTTATATTTCCTGATGTAATGCAAAAATTGCATAATGGTAAAGGACTTTTCGAATCACAAGGGAAGTTTCACAACTGTCTCGAACCGATTTTATTCTACATGAAATACGTTATTAAACACGAAAATCCGAGAGACGTATTTTTTTACATGTTCCATAAATCACATTTACAAAGTGAAACACCACTTTGAAAAAATATAATGGTATTTCTATTTCGAGGCGAATATCATCGGAAGTATAAAAGATGGAAAAAAATTTTTTAAACAAAGGTTGTACGGTATTAAGAGTACTTCAATGCTGTGAAGAAAAAGATTTTTTTTATTTTTTTTAACAATTGTTAAACAAAAAATTAAAAAAATTTGTTTTCTTTTCATCATTGAAGTACTATTGTTATATATGATTTAAAGTACAGTGTAGTAAAGATGATTTATGGATGATTTTAGATATAATAATGAAAAATTAAGTTTCTAATATAACATAAAATCAAATATAAGTTGTATAAGTATCTTGTATCTAAAACTTAAAATATACCGTAAAAATAACTAAATACAGGCTATATCCGTCAAGGAAGTAATGCACTTAGCTAAAATCTATCTAGGAACTGTATCTAGATAATTTATCTAGATACGTTCCAACACTGATTCTAATATACCACATCACATGCGATACATCAAAAATTATTTATTTTTTAGGGTCACAAGCTACATCATTACATATGAGATTAAAGAAGAAACTGTAATTGACAACGAAAGAGATAAAGAACAATTATAACCTCAAAAATAACAGCAAATAATGATTAATAATAATGACGAACTGTTGAAAGAAGTGAAGAATAAAGATGTAACTTTTAAGATTTTATATGTATAGACGGGAATCTTCCAGAATTTACAATTTTTCTCGGAGGTACAAGTGAACACTGTCAGATACAGGAGCACCGTCGTGTAAAGTTGTTAATGCATTTTAAAGACAAAATCGTCCGGCAAATCCTCACGACTTAATAATTTTATGTCCTAGTTGAGTTTAAAGTAGTACAATCGCGAACAGAATTTCTTGAAATTGATGCTATACGTATTTTATTAGAAAGCGTTATTACACTTATGTAATTGCAATGAAGTTTCAATACTGAAATATGAGCAAATGAAAGCTACACTTTTTATACGTGTCGCATACAAAGTTAATGAAAATATCGTGTTTTTTTTTTGTAGAGCTTAAACTACTAACAATGGCAATACGATGGTAATGTTAATACGAAATGAGTAAATGAGTAAGGTACTTGGAAGGGATAGCGTGATACCAATCACGGCATATAAATGTTTCATATATAATTATTAGGTGTTGGAATTAATTCGTAGCGTTTT